GGGGGGGGGTAGCATGGCAACGTCGGAGGCGGGGGTGCGATGCTGCAGAGGGTGTTAACGACAACATTAACGTGTGTGTCCCCCGCAGGTGACCGGGCTCGTGCTGCCGGGCGGCGGGGACGTGGTGGTCGGCCAGGAGTACACCGACTTCGACAAGGGGCTGGACGACGGCGTGGAGGGCGAGGTGTTCGGCTTCCACCTGTTCCGCACGGCCGCGGCCAGGGCGCCGGCTCCTCCCGAGCTCGAGCACGACGAGGACCTCCAGCACCAGCTCCTCAGCACGCGCCGTCGCGGAGACACGGGCGCGCCCCGCTCTCGGCGCCGCTCCTCAGACTCAGCGTCCCCACCGCGGCGGCGCACCGGAGCCAGCGAGGAGGCCGTGGCGTCCTCCAGGAGGTCCAGGTCGCCGCGGTGGAGGTTCGGCCCTCCGTCGGCACCGTCGCGGGTGCAGCGGCTGCACGCGTGCGAGCGGCTCGCGCCAGAGGACCGCGCCGAGGCCATCGTGTCCTGGCCCAGCACCCCCGTCAGGGTGTTCGGCGGCGCCATCATCAGCCACGTCAAGGGCGGCTGCGGCGACTTCTAGGTCGCCGTCAATGGCGATCCTCGCCCTTCGCGCTACTCTGTGCCAATGAATGGACTGCAACACTTGCACCCCGTGCTCCGCCATTCACGACGTGGACCCACAGTCATTAGTTCTCGTTGTGCTCCGCGCCGGACACTCTGCCTGGAGACCTCCCCTGCTGCTGATGCTCCCGTGCGCGGCACGCGCGCCAAGGAGAAAGTGCGGCCATCCGTCCAGCCATGAATTGACGGAAAGCGGCGCTTTTGCTGCTTTCCGCCAGCGCTCTCAATACGGCCGATCTAAACCTTAGACTAATACTAATTATTTATTGATTGAGTGAATGCGATTATTGGTCTTTGCACAACGACGACACCGCCAAGAGTCCCCAGCACTCCCAATTATTGTACAAATTTGTATAAACTTTAACTACAATTAATAAATTTATTAGCTTAGAACAGTCAACAGAAACTAGTTCGTAGGCTGACCGCACGTGTCTTAATTACTTTTATAATTTTGGTAATCATGTTACTCCCTCACCAAACGTACAGTAGTACGCCACCATGGAAAAAACCGTATAGAACTAGAACAATTGCAAACAACACGCGTACGTTTGCGTTCCGGACTCTTCTGCCGAGCGCAAGCGCGCCCTTCCCATCCGCAGCTGCAGCGCACTGGCGCACGATGGGTTGCCAGCCAGCACGGCGCCTTCTCGGCCGCGCAGCCGCCACTGCCTTGGGCCCCGGGCCCAGGTCGGCTGAAAAGGGGTCCGAGGGAACCACGGTTAAAAAAGCTTCTTGTATTGCAAGACCCGGTCTTGGAACTTATGGAGAACGCCAATGGCATCCAAGACCAAGTCCTGTAATGGAAGAAACTCTATTTTTACCGTGAGCAGAGCAGAGGGACATCCGGCGAGGTGAGGGGGTGACGGGGGTCGGATACAGGCGGGAGGCGGACAGGAGGAGACCACGGCTGCGAGAGCGGGCGCGCCCGATTTCATATGTTTCCACGGACGAATTATCGCGTCTAGCGGCGACTAATATCAACGCCCCTTTCGCTCCCGGCGCAAGGCCCGGGTGGTGAACACGGACATCAGCGTCAGAGTTATGGGTCGAGATAGTGGTCCACGCTCCGGGGCTCCAGCGGCCCCCAGCAGACCCCAGCCTCCGGGGGGAGGGGGCGGGGGGATCACTTCACCAGCAGAGTGAGTAGTTGGGCGCAACAGCTGTTTGGCGGGTGGTATCGGGTTCCAAGATGTAAAACTCACTAACCAACAAAAGCACCGCGGTGGCAGAAGGGGGAAGGAGCCGGGGGCTGTACGATTGAAAGTCAAATTGGGAGACAGATTGAATTGCAGAAGCAGCAGAAGCATAAGAGATGCCATCCTCTTGCAGACAAATCGTTTCTCTAGAGAATAACGATATCGGTTCCGTTTCTTCTGAAGAAAAGACAAAAGCATAAAAATAAAGTCGACCAGCAAAGAGAAAAGGGAGGGTAAAGGAAAGGGATGGTGGGGGTCTGAGACATTATTTTACTACCATAAAAGAACCAGAAACCAAGGATTGCATTCCATTCACTCTCATCAGTTGTCCGAATAGCAATACAGCATAATATTCATTTTACTACACGAATCTGCAGCGATCTATCGGATTCCGTTCCGTGTAGTTCGACAGTTCGACGAGGCGACCCGGCCGACCCTCGAACACGTGTCCCCTCACACTGGCGGTGTGATGTGTGATATAACTTATCTTTTGACTGATGGCGGGACGGGCATTCCGGAAGTGAAATTTTCTAGTCTGCACAAAAACATGCGCGCGAGAGAGGAAAACTGGGGAAAAGGGGGAGGGGGAAGAAGTCAAATAGGGGAGAGGGGACCCTTCGGAG